GACACAAGAGCAGAAAACTAAACACCACATATTCTAACTCGTAAATGGGTATTGAACAATGAGAACACATGGACACTGGGAGGGGAACATCACTCACTGGGGTATGTTGGGGTGTCATGAGCTAGGGGAAGGATAGCAGCAGGTAGGGAGATTGGGGAGTGATAACATAAGGAGAAATACCTAATGTAGTTGATGGGGTGATGGATGCAGCAAACCACCCTGGCATGTGCATACCTATGTAACAATCTTGCAAGTTCTACACTTGTACCCCAGAACTTAAAGTAGAATAAAAACAAATAAATAAATAGAGAGAGAGAGGAGAGAAAGAAAAGCAAGCAAGAAAGAAAGAAGGAAGGAAGGAAGGAAGGAAGGAAGGAGGGAAGGAAAAGAAAGAAAGAGAAAGAAAAGAAAGAAAGAAAGAAAGAAAGAAGAAAGAAAGAAAGAAAGAAAGAAAGAAAGAAAGAAAGAAAGAAAGAAAGAAAGAAAGAAAGAAAGAAAGAGAGAGAGAGAGAAAGAAGGAGAGAGAGAGAGAAAGAAGAAGAGAGAGAGAGAGAAAGAAAGAAAAGAAAAGAAAAGAAAAAAGAAAAGAGAGAAGAAAAGAAAGAAGGAAATTGCCTTAGCAACCTGTGTCCTAGGAGGCAGGCTTCACTGAAGGCCTCCTAGATCTTTTGCATTCCTCGCTGGCACAGCGTTGGCCCCAACCAGCTAAATAAGTGTCTGGCCATTAAACTTAAGGTCATTTAATCCTTAACTTGATAGATTCTGGGTGTTTTCTACAAATTTGCATAGAAACTAGCACTTACCTGGGAGATTACTCTGCCAGCTGTCAAAGGATTTTCCAAGTAGTTCCATACTCAAGGATGCTGTGAAATGGAAAAATGAAGCCACAGAAATCTTAAATGTGTTAGAAAAAGGGCTGGGTGATGAAAGATTCTAGCGAATCTGCACACTGCAGCAAAGTGTTTCCAGAAACACTGCATAAACTAAATACAGAATCAAGAGTAATTTGGATTTTGGTAAGATTGGCTTTGGCATGTTTTTTTTAAAACCAAGGAATAGTGTATTTAGAAATGTGGGAAAACTACATCAAAAAAATGAAACGAGTTGTAATAAAATCAGACTTAGTGTTGCTGGATTTCAGTAATGTATGGGCATCTAGTTTACATAAAGAGAACATGTGAATAAAATACCAGGATAAAATTTCTCTAGAAACTTTGAGCTTTAACATTACATAGTTCATCTCAGCACAAACTATATAGAACTGCCAATAGGCAACTGCTTTTATGCTACAAAAATGGCCATTTCCCTTGCTTCAAATCCATATTTCAGATCTTTGTCTTTTCTTTGCAATGAAGATGTAAACGTTTTATTTCACACTATACTAGAGTTAAAATTTCATGGGTGTCTGTATTACAAATGCTAAAATAATCCTAAAAATGAAAGTAAATTTGAGCTTTGATAGTCAATCTTTTTCACAGTCTTATGTTAGAGAACTAATCTTTCCCAGATATCAAACTCTATGAAAACTGCCATAGTTACCACCTACTACCAACTTAGTTTCCATGCCCCATAACAGTTGTCAGAGAACCTACCCACTTTCAGTGACACTTATATTCTTATTCTAACTTGACCCTGTTTTTCATTTATCAAAGTGACTATATTGCCTTCTGGAATTCAAGCCAAAGGAAAGAACGATGTTACTGGTCCCTAGTCTATTGATTTACTCTATTTTTGTCAC